AGAAAATAATCGTCAGTTGCAGTGAGCAAAGCATTAAACAAACTGTTTAAATGTTATTCCACTGAGATAATTTATGTCATCAGTTTCATCATCATGCATCATCAGGCTTGCTTAAAGGCCCAGTGTCTAAGATTTAGGGTCATCTATTAGCAGAATATGGTACATAATATTCAAAGCTATTTTTCATTAGTTTATAATCACCTGAAAATAATAATTGTTTTGTTTTTGTTACCTTAAAATGAGCTGTTTATATCTACATACATAGCAAGTCCTCTCCTGTCATGTTTCGACAGTAGCCCAGATCAGACCAATTAAACACTGGCTCTAGATGGGGTCATTTGGGTTTTTGTGTAGGCCTCCATAGTTCTCCTACCCGCTTGGCACACAGGAGAAGTTTCAGTTCTGCAACCTCACCACTAGATGTCACTAAATGATACACATTGAACCTTTAAAGGTATGCTAGCCAGGACTGTTGGTTACTGATTATAAACACACTTGCCAGTGAAAGTGGAAGTAAAAGCCAATCCCAGATTCACTCTAGTTTGGCATTTTGCCTTGATATATTTGTGTCTTTTTGGTGCTGTGTCTCTTGGATGCCTGCTGCTTACTGTCTGGCACCTGGTACACACCCATAAATGTCCCAAACACAGGCAGAGGGCAGAGTCTCTGCATAAAAATACACCGCCACACACTGAGAGTGGGTCATAAGTGATGATTGAGGGGGGGATTACTTCTGTAGGAAGGAGGAAAATCCTGCATGGTATATTTTTAACTTTTTTTTTTTTTTGCTAGAGATATATGACATCAAATATAAATACAGCAGTTGATGTGAGGGTTTAATTAACAACAGCAAACAAAACATTCATTATTGATTGATCAACCAATAACTGTGTGGTTTAAAATCTATATATATATATATATATGTATATATATATATATATATATATGTATTTATAAAAAAAAACAACAACAACTAGAAAATGCATTTCCTGCCGAAAATGTAGAAATATATATAAAAAATGCCTGCAAGAGGCTCAACCGCATTGACTATGCTGCTGAAAAAACCTGGAAGCTACAATGTAAAGCATGCAGAATTGGAAGCTGAACTGTTTTACAAAAAGATGCTAAGAGCTGAAATACATTGGTAGAAAAAACTGTTGTGCTGTTAAAGGTTAAAAATGAACTGAAAAGGCTAAAAAAGGAAATTCTGAAGCAGTCTTTCCTTTTTTAGTATAAATTGACATATGGGATATAAATACGGGTTCAATTTATAATATATTAATTGGTGATAAATTGACTGATAATTGTCTGGTTTATAAAATGAAAAGCAAGCAATACGAGGGTGTCACACTGGGCCCTGGAGCTTGTGACAGGCATTTTTCACTGATTTCTAAAGCTTTATATACAATTAAGGGGCAGTAAATTTTCTGTAAGTCTGTATTTCAGTGTATCTATCTAATGTTTGCTAACATTAGCTAACAAGTGAGGCTGGAGCTACAAAACATCTGAGTGTGCTGACTGTTTTACCACTTTTTTTGTAAGAGGAAGATTGTACAGTGCTTCGCAGAAGTATTCACCCCTCTTGGCATATTTTATGTTTTTATTTTGTTGCATTGCCACCTGTCATTAAAATTGATTTTTATCTGGATTTTTTGTAATGTACCAACATGAAATAGTCAGAATTAATGCAGTGAAATGGGGAAAAAAGTTTAAAAAATGCACCTTAATGGGTAAATATTCTACTTTTGATAAGATATGGTGACGTTTTATGACATTTCTAGACGGGGCGAAGGCTACAGGACTTGTCTTAATTTCTTGAATGCAACATAATTATGTGCATTTTTTCCTCTTTCTTTCCTTTAGACTGTCATTAACTGAATAGGCAGCATTTCTGATTATTTATTTTTGAACTTTGGAGAAGTACTCATTGTATTGCCCTGTCGTAGCAGCTGATATTAAGACCATGCCTTACTGTGAATGTTATATTTCGTACCTTACTTGTTTTATGTTGTTGTATTTGATGTAATATTTGAAGTATATTAAAAATCCAATAAACACACTTGATCAACTTGACTATAAAGCCTTTAAATAAGACCTGGTGCTACCAAATACATTAGTCATACAATATTGTCAATAGTCAATACAATATTATTGCGATTTTAAATGTGTTGCGATATGCTGAGAATAGCAATAAAATATATTACTATATGTTGGGATTTATTACCTGTTTTCACCAGCAAATAATGTCCCCAAAAAGACACTTTGTCAACATCTGTATTATCTAATAAGACAGTTTTCAGTCTGTTCATCTCACTTCAGTCATTTTCTTTTGAAGCAAAATGTACTGAAAAAGCAACTGATTATATTACTGGAGTAGGCTACCTAAAGTTTAATTTGTATTTGTAATATTAATAATTAATATAATAAAAAAAACGATACTTGGCACTGTGTGGTGATAGGATATTGCCACATAGAAATATTGCAATACTATGCTGTATCAATTGTTTCCCCCACCCTTACTGATTGCCTTCAGAAGTCACATAATTAGTTAGATAAAGTCCACCTGTGAGCAATCTAAGTGTCACATGATCTCAACATATATACACCTGTTCTGAAAGGCCCCAGAGTCTGCAGCACCACCACACAACGGGCACAACAAAGACCAAGGAACTCTTCGAACGAGTCAGAGACAAATTTCTGGAGAACTGAGAACTTACAGTAACTGATATGTTCCTGCTGAGCTTGGTTAAATCCATTTTTACCAAATGGGAAAAAATGTAGCACCGCAACAAACCTGCCAAGCAAGGGCCGCCCACCAAAACTCAAGTACCAGGCAAGAAGGGCATTAATCAGAGAGACACAAAGAGACCAAAGATAAACCTGAAGGAGTTGGAAGGCTCCACAGCAGAGACAAGAGTATTTGTCTATAGGTAGACTTTGATCTGTACACTTCACCGAGCTGGGCTTTATGGAAGAGTGGCCAGAAAATTCAATTTTAGGCCCATATGACCCAAGTACCTTCTTCCATATATTCAGGGAGTCTCCTACATGCCTACTGGCAAAACTCCAAACATTTTTAATTCTTTTTTTATGCATTGAATTGTTTCCTGGCGTGTGGGGTGTTCAGATTTTTTTAAACCCAACCCTGAGCTGTACTTCTCTAGAACTTCATCCCTGACTTGTTTGAAGAGTTCCTTTTTCTTCATGGTGCCATTTGCTTGGTGGTGCCTTTCAGAACAGGTGTATACTGACATCATATGACACTTAGATTGCACACGGGTGGACTTTAATTAATCATGTGACTTGAGGGTAACTGGTAGCGCCAGGTCTTATTTTAAGGCGTCATAGCAGAGGAGGTGAATACATATACACACACCACTTTTTTTCGTTTTTTATTTTCATTTCACTTTACCAATTTTTACCATTTTGTGTGGCTCCATTATGAAAAATGTGTTTTCTGACAATCAACTCATCGATTCATGAGCAGCACTACTTTATTCCACTGAAGAGGCATTTCCACTTCTTTCCTCACCCATATTTTTAGTTTCTCAGTTTAGGATTTAGTTGATTAAATCCAGACAAAAGCGGGATTAAATACCGTAGGTCTTACACTAAAAAATATTTTCATTTTTGAATGATCTGCTGATTAACTGTCTCTATTCATCAGTGCGTTGTTTTGTCTATAAAAAGTCATAATATTGCTGACAACCCAAAGACTGATCAGTCCATCAAATGACAAAGAAAAGCTGCAAACATGCTAACATCTGAGAAACCGCCTGTTAATTGTTTTTTTTTATAGTTGCAGATTCATTTTCTGTCTATCAACTTATCAATTAATCAACTGCATCATACTGTCAGTGTTGTTATGTTTCGTATGTGTATGTTTTAATGTTTTAATAAACTTCCAGATGGGCCAAAGACAATTTTCCACCGTGGTGAGCGGTAAAGTTTCATTCAAATCTAATCCATTCTGTCTGATTCTGCTCTAATCGTTTCAGCTCTAGATCAATTAATCAGGACTAAATAGATACTTGAGACGGTGTAAAGCCTGCAGGAATGTGGAGAGCCTTGTAGTTTCTGTCATTAGTACATCAGGCTCCTTTTGAGGGAGGATATTTTAATCCTTCCCAACTCCTGACTCTTTGATGTATGGAAGCTCGTGAACTTCAGGGATTCAGGATGTGCTCTGCATGCACAGTCCGTCTGTATCCTGGTGAAACCCCTTGACTCGTCACAACCTGATTTGTACAGGGATCAAGTTCTCCCCTCTGCTGGACTCTCTCAGACACTACAGCCAGCCCAAATGCATCTTCTAAAACAAACATACGGAGGTCAATTAAAAGCGTCTTGATCACATCAGCTGATGCAGATGAGAGGGGTTTACAACAGCCCTGCAGTAACACCACAAGGCTCAGAAATCAGTTAGAGTTTTGTCTTGAATAACACCAAATCTCCGTCTGAGTCTTCCACACGTGCTTGACCTGGAAGCATTAATTAAAAAAACTGGGCTGTGTTGGGATTTTGATGTGAGACACTGCCACTTTTCAAGCATTTTGCTGCTCTCTACTGGGCAAAACAACAACTGAACCTGAGGTGGCAGGTCTCAGGATGGAGATGCAGAGCAGAGGCATTAATGTATCGGATATACGGATAATAAATACAGATGTAAATGTCTTTTTGTAGCTGTTGTGAGTCCAAAAGACGAGCCTTGATTTCTCACCAATAGCTTATACCTGAAACAAATACTAGGCACTGCAGCACTGCCAACAAAACAATGCAGAGACACCTCTTCTGTTGAAAAAGCAACTTCACCCCCTTATAGATTTACTCAGACTTAAGAGCACAACATGGCCTACATTTTCTATAGAAGCTACAGTTCTCTCCTCCCACTGACAATGAGTGTGACTGTGATGTACCAGTGATGTAGCCTACATTGCATGCATAAATAAGGAAAAAGGAAGCCAACAAATGGCTCTGGGAGCTCTTTCTTTCTTGTTTACCTGCCGTTTGATGAAGCTGGATGTTGTGTCAGAAGACGTGCTGCCATCTGAGCGTTTGAAGCGGCTCTTGCGTTTAGGCAACTTCCTGGGCAGCTGTGATAAAAGAGACACACAAGTGAGGGAATAAAGACAGATAAACAGACAGATAGCATGAAACCAGCTTGCAGTATGCTGATTTTTAAGGCTTTTTCTTGGATTTTTGACAATGTAAAAGCCTACATTGTGGGATTAGAGGTGTAAAACCAGCTGTAGCCAGTATCACATATATTCCAGGACTAAATTAATCCAGCTGCACTGCTGGTCTGTGTAATGCAGGAGACAGATTTTCCCCAGGCCTCTTATACACAGTCCATTAATAAGAGAGCATGGTGGATGTTGCGGTGAGTGTGCTGACAGGCCCTGTAGATTCAGGCTACAGGTGAGTCAGAGTCATGATCTGCCTGTTGTGTGCCAATAAAATTCAGCATATATTCACGTCACTGCTTTGTGCTGCTTTACAGCCATTGCTGTGAGCAAATGCATTGAAATAAATAATAAAAAAAAAATCATTTTATAAAAGGCCCGATGAGACTCAAGCTGTAAATGTATGAACACTTAAGATTTCATCCTCTCAGTGTGTGTGAGTGTGTGTGTATGACAGGCATAATAACCATATGTGAGCCCACCTAATGATCGCACCCACTGGCTTTCCACCGATCAAGCATCAATCTGCAGTTTCAGTGAAGGCGGAGGTGAAAAAAAAAATGTATATAAATAAATAAATAAAAAAGTAGCTCGCTGCCAAACCGCGACGCCTCAATTGCAACAACAAGTAGCAGGATATTAGCTAACCATTTCCCTCCTCCGCCCGCACTTTGCTCGTTAGATGTGTGTGAAAAGTGTGCCGGATTTACCTGGAAATAGTGCGACTGGGAGCCTGTTTCCACAGCAGACAGAGGGTCTACGGGCGATTTGGACATTTTGACTTGCACCATCTATTGAGAGCGCAGGGAGGCGGGATGCACACAGACATGGGTTACTGGAGGAAACAAGGGACACAAAATACATCTAAAATGCAGTAAAAGACAGCGGGGGAAGCGGCATGAAGGAGCGGGGGGGAAAGCGGTTAATATCCGAGCTCAGATGAAATGAAAAGCTAAGCTAGGGATAAAAAACAAAATGTGTGTTTTAAGCTACATCGGGGGTAAAAATGTAAAGCGGACAGGAAAAATACCGGAGCTAAAATAAACCGTCAGGACTGAAGCGTCATCGCTGGAGCAACCGTACAGGCCCGTACTAAGTGTGAGTCTGTGCCGGGGGTGTCAAGGTTGGCTTAGCCGGTGCAAAAATCAATTCATAAGAGGATACAGGTATACAGTTTTAATATTTCTTCATTTAGAGGCGTGTTACCGCTCGTTTGTGTGTAATATCTGTTTGGTAAAGGGGGGCTCAAACAGTAAACCACAGTCAAATGTATGTGGAATCTTCAAAGAGTGGATCTTTGAATTCATAATACAGGGGTGATTTTTGGGGATATCATATATAAACACAGTATGTGATAAACACATTTTTCTTTTCTTTTTTACACATTGTATTAACAAATAGTACCAGTGTCTTTTTTTATTTTAAATTAATCTCCACTTTTTCACAATCATGTGTTCAAGCTGAGCTCGAGAGCTACAGACTGTAGGGGAGACTGGGGTTGGTTGTCACTTTTTAATCTTGTGTGAATTGCTCATCATCGAAGCATCTTTCAATAGTCATTCCTATATTAACCTCCTGAGATGCCAAAGTCCCAGTGTCCTCAAATGACATGATAATAAAGTCCCAGTGTCCTCAAACAAGACGATAATAAAGTCCCAATGTCCTCAAACGGGTAGTCTACTTCCTAACAGTGTCTGAGCTTGTTACTGTCGCTTAATTCGGTCAGATGTGCTGCCATATCAAACTACAATTTATGTATAGTCATTCCTACATTAAATGGAAGCCTAAGGTCTTGGTTTGAAATGGGTATCCCTCTCATTTTTAGAAGTTATTGTAACAAGAAGTTATTAACCATCAAAGACACTGACACATTGTGATGACCAACCCCATCACAGGGTTGGTTGTAGGCTACAGTACAGATGGGAATGTATTAGTTGTATATGTCCATGATAAAGACTAAAATGTAGGGATGCACGATAATGTTTTTTTTTTGCCCATATCCAATATGCCAATATGTAACAACTCATTTGACCGATAACTGATGAATGATTAGAGTTTAAGTCATCTGAAGGGAGTTACGCTGGTATTGTGTGATCCCAACCATTAAGTGCAACAAAACTAACAGGGGTGTGACAGAGATGTCATCCAGCACTGTCTGATCTGCACACACCCTCACAGTCTTGAGGAAAAGAGGTCTCACCAGGAAACATTATATGGAAACATCCGTGTGGAACCTGGTTTTCCTGAATTTTTATTGCAGACAAAGTCAGCAGCTGCTTAGAAAATCAAATGTCCTGATAAAGACGAAGGTATTTTATAAAGAGTCTTCTTGGATACCAAAAGGAGAGTGAATATTGGACTTATAACTACATTAATCAGGTGACCAGAAAGAAGATGAATATGTTGCTAGGGATGTAAGTTACCTTAGATAATGATGTGCTAACACATTAGCATAGTAACTTTAAAGGCTATAACATATGCCAGGACATATCTGTTAGCTGGTTTTGGTGCTCTGATGCCCCTTGTGACCAAACTTGTAGTAATTCAGCTTTAGCCTATTTAGCAGACATATAATAGTTAGGTTGTGTATAATACTCCAAACTGGACTTGCTTACGTGTCTGTTAGCTAGCAAACATAAACCCAACTGATAATGTCATTGCAGTAAGGTTAATTGAGCCCAACCATAATTGAAATAGCACCAGTGGATAAGCTAACTGCTTGTCAAAATACATCTGGATTTCCATCTATACACCTATGAAATACATTATGTAACTTAGAGTTGTTGTTGCTTTGTGTACTAGCTTGACTATGGTAGCTGTTCAGGCTTCATGCTAACGATTCTGCTAACCATGTCCCAGACAGGACAATATTACTAATAGTCCAGTCAATCTAGTTCCAAAAAGGGCCAAGCCTAGGAAAAAATGCAATTACATTGTTTCAGAGTTTTTAATCCTAATACCCTCCTGTATGACATATTAAAGTATACCTTCATGGATATAGTGGAACAAATTTTTCAAGTCAAAAGCAAAGTTTCAGCGTTTTAGTCTAGTGCGACATAGTCTAGGAAAAATGGTGTTAATACTGGAGGGTCATATGTGATGTTTTGAGGGTCAATCTTCCCAATAAAATCCATTTTGAGACAGTATTTTAATATCTTAAGCCTGTATTTGGGGTACTACTACAACAACACTCATTTTTTGGCCAAAATTTTATCTTATACTCAGTGCCACAGGGCTCCTTTCTAAACTGCATCTAAATTGTTCTGTTAAATCACTGTAAACACAACAATAATTGTAATAATATTAACAACACACATTGAAAGTACTCCAATGTCTTAAGATGGTACAGACAAAATTTGAAGTCAATGAGAACAAATCTGAATAAGAGTTCGTTGACGCACGACCCCTGGAAATGGCCAAAAGTGCACAAAAATGACTCTGAAAATTCAAAATGGCTGACTTCTTGTTGGATTTAGTCCAAGAGACTTTTTTGTTCATCTTGGGGCGTGACATGTGCCTACTAAATTTCATACATGTAGGGCAAACCAGCTTCGGGGGCTAACTAATTGTTAGTGTAGGGTCAGCTGTGATGATATTTACTCAGTGGTGGAAAAAGTACTTAGAAGTTATGCTAATCTACATAAGTAAAAGGAGCCATACAACAGTGTAGAGATGATGTTCCTAGTAAAAGTCCTGCATTAAAAATTTGTCCTTTCTTACATACTTACTTACTTACTTGTAAGTTAAAGTACAAAAATATTAGTGTTAAAATACACTTAAAGTACCAAAAAATTAAAGCACTCATTATGCAGAATGGTCCATTCCAGGATCATATATATATTATCGGATTTTATTATTGATTTTTCATTATCATTCGTTATTCATGTGTGAATTAAATGTTGCTACTGTGAGGTGGGGCTAATTTTTGTTACTTTCCTAGCTTGTGAATTTCCTCCCTGGGGAATCACTTAAGTCTTATCTTTAGTTTGTTCTCTCAGTGCTGACCTGGTGTATCCGCTACCTTCTTCCTGATCTCAACAGGGAGAAAAGGCCGTTATCCGGGTGTTTGGGATCCTAAATGATTTTCCTTGCCTTATTCTAGCACCTGGTTTAAATATCCACTGCCTATTGTATTTTCAGCTGAATGAACCACTCTTTGCAGGGCCTTGTGCTCCTGTTTGGTGCTGTTTCTATACCAGACAGGAATATTCCATGTCAGGACGCTGAGGATGGATGCAGGATTTCAAATTCCTTACTATTTAAGGGGATTCACTGAATTTCCTCAGGTGTATAAGGTGAAAGAAAGTTGCCTTCTCTCTGAGTATGCAGCACCCAGGTCAGGCATTGTGTGTGATGTGGAAACCCATGTATTTGAAGCTGTCCTCCCTCTCCACGAGGACCTGTTGATATTAAGGGGGCGTGGTTCCTTCCCTGCTTCTTCCTCAAGTCCACTATAATCTCCTCAGTTTTGTTGATGTTCAGGAGGAGGTGGTTGTCCTGATACCAGCAGGTCAGGTCCTCTACTTCTTTCAGGTAAGTCTCTTCATTGTTATCTTTGATCAGGCCCACCATAGCTGTGTCGTCAACAAACTTGATGATGGTGTTGGAGTTGCAAGGAGTCGGCTATACAGACGTGTGTGTACAGGAGTACAGCAGGCCCTGGGGTGCTCTGGTGTTAAGAATGAGGGTCAAAGAGGTGTGTGGCAGAAAGTCCACATGCACAGTGAGGTGTTTAATCCTAGGTTCCTGAGCTATTTGACGGGCCTGGAGGGAACTATGGTGTTAAACACTGAACTATAGTCAATGAACAGCAGTCTCACATTGCTCCCTTTCTTTTCCAGGTGAAATAAGGTGTCTTCTGTTGATCGGTTGGGACGGTAGGCAAGCTGTAGTTGGTCAAGTGTGCTGGTTAGTGAGGAGCAGATGAAATCCTTAAACAGCTGCTCAAAGCACTTCATCACTGTAGGCCAGTGCCATTAGGTGGTAGTCATTCTAGCAGGCTGGTCTTGTTTTTTTTGGGCACAGGACTTCTTGAGACACCTGTATATGACAGACTGAGTCAGTAACAGGTTGAGTACCATTGTGAACACCTGCACTAGCTGGTCAGCACATAGTGTGATGGCCCAGCCCACTGATTCTGTCAGGTCCTGCTGCTTTTTTGGTATTTACACGCTTGAAAGCCCTCCTGACGCCATGCTCAGACAGGGTGATAGGTGTGAAAGGTGCACCCACCTGTCGTTGAACCTCTGCTTCAACTGTTTTTGCTTGCTGGCTGCTGATGACCTCAAAGCATGCATGTAGTTGTCTGTCTAACTTGCTAGAGACACATCATTATTAGTACTTACTAAAGTTATCAAATAAATATAGTGGAGTTAAAAAGTGCAATATTTTCCTCTGAAGTGTAGTGGAGTAGAAGTATAAAGTGGCAGCAAATAGAAATGTTCGAGTAAAGTACAAGTACACCAAAATTTACTTAAATGTAGTGTATCAGTAGACATACTTGGTTATTTTGCCCCACTGTATTTACCCTTCCTTGGCACTGTATGCACCATCGACTACATACATATTGTAGTTAAACCTAAAACTCCAAGCTGAGTCATTGTTACAGTTCAAGCTGGCCATTGAAGGACCTTTAAAATATATGTCCCAGACAGTATACACCTGTAGAACATTCATTCATTCATATCTCTAACTGCTTATCCCGGTACAGGGTCGCAGGGGTGCTGGAGCCTGTCCCAGCTGATACTGGGCAAGAGGCAGGGTACTCCTCAGATAGGTCGCCAGGGCTGATACATAGAGACAGACAATCATTCACGCTCATGTTCACACCTATGGGCAATATAGAGTCACCAATTAACCTGCATGTCTTTGGACTGTGGGGGGGAAACCAAAGAACCCAGAAGAAACCCACATGTGCAAACTCTACCCAGAAGGGCCCCAACCAACTGGCGGACTCAAACCAAGAATCCTCTTGCTGTGAGGCGACAGTGTTAACCACCACCATGCCACCTTCCCTGTAAAACAGGAATAGAAAATAGGAGAGGTCATCTACCTACCACAGTATGAAACCAGTAGAT